AGCTCTCTGATGCATAGCAAATAATTTTGAAGACCAGGGGCCTGAATCAGGCACACTTTAGTCTCTACACTGACATCATTGCTCTTCAGTACTCTGGAGAGGTCCCTGACAACTGATTTTCCCAGTGCAGTTCATCTTTTGATTTTCTGGCTGCTGGTACCAAGAGTGTTGATTGTGTAGCCAAGCACACTGAAGCTGTTAACAATCTTGATCTCCTCACTGTCCGTCATGATGCTGCCAATTGGCCCAGTGGTGAGAATCTTTGTCTTGATGCTGAGCTTCAACGCATATTGAAGGCAGCAGTTCTTGACCTTCAGTAGCAAATCCTCCTCAGTTTCAGCAAGCAAGGTTGTGTCATCTGCATAATGCAGGTTGTTGATGAGTCTTCCTCAATCCTGATGCCGCATCCCTCCTTGTAGTGCCCAGCCTCCTGGATGATCTGTTCCACATGTAGATTGAAGAGGTATAGAGATAGGATGCATCCCTGGCTACACCTTTCCTGAATTTGAACCATGCAGTGTTTCCTTGCTCTGTTCTGACAACTGCCTCCTAGTCCATATAGTTCTCTCATAAGGACAATCAAGTTTTCTGGGATTCCCATTCTTCTCAGGGTTAATTACGGTTTGTTGTGGTTCACAGAGTTGAATGCCTTTGCATAGTCAACGAAATACACACACACACACACACACACACACACACACACACACACACACACACAAATGAGTGCGCACATGCATGTATGCATGGAGCTCTGGTGCTAACCCAAAAGCTATACTTTTCTGGCAATTTGAATCTACCAGCAAGCAGTGGAGAAATATGGGCGACTCCTGTTGGCAGTTTCCAGCCTCAAGAACCCAATGGAGGGTCGCCTGGGACTTAGAACCAACTCAGTAGCAGTGAGTTTGAGTTCCTTTGCTTTTTTTTTTAATAAGTACTTTAAGACAAAGACAAATAGGATATTTTTCTTTTTGTTAAATAGTTAAAAGCATTGTTACCATTGTCTGTTCTCATTTGATTTTGAGTATTTTTGGAAATTATTCAACTGATAATAGCGGACCTTAAAAAATGTTACCTTTTACAGATTTTGTTAGCATCTTAACTGAAATTCTCTCTAAGTATTAGGAGCTTCGGTGGCATAGTGAGCCACATCTCATGCTGCTAACTAAAAGACAGGTGGTTCAAATCTACCCATCACTCTGCAGGAGATAGATGAATAATGACCTCCCATGAAAATGTAGAGCTTCAGAAATCCAGTGAAGGGAGCTGTAAGCGAAAATTGACTCAATAGCAATGGAAGTAGGCACAAGTTATTAATATTTTGCTTTTTTTTTTATTCTTCCAAACTTCTCTAAGAGAATCCATGGTCATAATGTATCCTAGAATAACATTTTACTTAGCAGTACTTTGATGTTTAATTAGATAACTTTAAAGACTTTTTGTTTGTATTAAAAAAAAATAGAGGTTTTTTTTTTCATAAGCCAAAAAGGAAAGAAGGTATTCTATATGTAAAAAGGTTTGTAATCCTAGACCATTAAGATCAAAAAGGAAGGTCCTTTTGCCAAAAAAAAAAAAAAAAAAAAACCTCTAAGACAAAACACAGCTGCCTCATAAGGTTTCCAAAGCTGTAAATCTTTACGGAAGCAAGCTAATCATCCTCTCTTTTTCTTCCTTAGGGTAGCTGGTAGGTTCATATGCCTGACATTTTGGATAGCAGATAAATGCTTTCACCATTATGTTACCAGAGATCCTTGCCCCGGTAGTTAAATGTAACTGATTTATCTGTCACATCAATTTAATGACTCCGAGGAGTTTCCTGAATAGAATTGGAAGAGTGATCTTTTCTTTTTTCTTTAAATTTTTTCTGTTGTATTAAAAATATTATTTATTGTTCATCCATATATGTTTCATTCATATACATTTTATTTTATGTAATTATTATTGCTCTATGCATACCTCTGGAAACTCTGAACTTTGAGAAATGACGATAGTTAGAGAAAGCCTTCAAGTCTTTTGTTTATAGGGTCCCTATGAGTTGTGTTGAGCGACTCAACAGCAATCAACAACAACAACATGCCTTTTATCACCTCATCTCATCAAATCCCTATTGCTCCTGACCTATTCTTTCACTCTACCATCCATCCACTAATCTCTGCTGCCCTAGTAGTATATTTTTCTTTATTCTCCTTCTCCCTATATCTGCTCGTCTTTTCCCCTTCCTTCCTTTTCCCTTTTGAACAGTGATACATACCCTGTTTCTGTTTGCTGATTGCTCTGTCCTTTCATCATTTTTTCCCAGGTTGATCCTTGTCCTGCTCCTTTACAGTCTTTTTGAGTGTACATTCTCTCTCTGCTTTCCTGATCCCCCCCACCTCCCTAGTTACCTTCAATCCTCCCTACTTTTCACAGTGATACAATATTTGTCCTTTTATGGCTGAGTTCTTTTACTCTGCCTAATGTTTGCTTCATTTCTGTTACCAAGTCCATATCCAGCCACTGATCCTTCTTCCTTGTTCCCAACTTTTGCATTCCAGTAACCCATTATTATCAATGCATTTTGATTGCATGTTCGCTCAATTTCTGACTGCAAAAGTTAGTAGAATTCTTCTATTTCCTCCTCTTTGGCTCTAGTTGTCGGTGCATATATTTGAATGATAGTGGTATTCATTGGACTTCCTTGTATACGCATGGATATCATCCTGCCACTTACCACATTGTATTTCATGATGGATCTAGAAATGATTTTTTTAATTATGAAATCGACCCCATTTCTTCTCACCTTTTCACCCCCAGCGTAGTAGATCATTTGAGCATCTGATTCAAAATGTCCCATGCCAAGCCATCTCACTTTGCCAATACCTATTATTGTCAATATTTGTGTGTTCCATTTATATCTTAACAACATCCAGTTTTCATACATTCATGCTTCTCACAATCCACGTTTCAGTCATTAGTATCTGCTTACAGTTGTTCCTCTTCCTTTGTGTTTCCGTATATGAAATCTCAGCCTCAGTTGCCATGTTTGCTAGTTTAAGTGTGCTCTATTGTACCTAGGGTTTTTGAAAGTCTGGTCTTGGCTCCACAATCAATACGCTTGGTACTAGCAGCCAGGAAATCAAGAGACCAATTGCATTGGGAAATTCAGCTGTCAGGGACCTCTACAAAGTACTGTAGAACAATGATGTCAGGCTAGAGACTAAGGTGCACCTGATCCAGGCCATAGTCTTCGCAGTTGTATGCTATGCGTCAGAGAGCTGGACAGGGAATAGGGATGATAGAAAGAGAATTGATGCCTTTGAGCTGTGGTGCTGGAGAATAGTGTTGCATATACATGGACTGCTAGGAGAACAAACCAGTTTGTCCTGGGGAGGGTGAAACCTGACTGCTCCTTGGAGGCAAGTATTCTGAAGTTTCATCTGACATACTTTGGGCATGTTACAAGGAGGGACCAGTCCTTGGAGAGGGACATCATTTTTGGGAGGGTGAAGGGACAGCACGAGACAGGAAGACCCTCAATGAGATAGATCAATTCCGAGATTGGGGTAATGGGAGTAGGTGTGTCAGAGACAGTGAGGTTGGCACAGGGTAGAGCAGGGTTTAGGGCTCTTGTATTTAGGGTCATTATGAGTCGCAAGTGACTCAGCAGCACATAACAGCAACAACAATGTTGGCCAGCCTCGCCCACATTGTGTAATATTTTACAAATTTGTTGTTCCTTAGTACTGCATAGTATCCATTGTGTGAATGTACCACAATTTCTCTTGGTTTGTTGAAAGGCATTTTGGCTCTTTACATTTCTTGCTTTATGAATAATGCTTCTAAGAACATAGATGTACATAGCTCCATTTGTTCCTTTGCTCTCATTAGGTATATTCCTAGTATTGGAATAGATAGCTGCATCATGTGTGATTTCTATGTTCACCCTTTGGAGGAACTGCCAAACTGCCTTCCAGAGCGATTGTACCATTTATTAGCCCCACCAGCAGTGCATGAGCATTTCTGTCTCCTCGCAGAGTGATTCTTCCTTGCCCTTGTTCTGCCCGCTGTCAGATTCTATGTTACAAAGCACTGACTGACCTTTGGCTTAAGAAAAGATAGGAGCCAAGTAACAAAGACATGTGACTTAAAGAGTCACATAGCAGTTAAATCATTGTAGCTTTTTTTGTTTTGTCTATCTCTGCCCCCTGAATCAATTTATTGTGTTATGTTAGGTGCCTCTACAGCTCATAGCAACCTTTTGAACAACCGATGGAAACCTTGCTCTGTCCTGTGTCTTCCTCATAAACTTTCGGTCAGATTAGGAGAGATTTTTATAACTATTTTTTTTTAGAAATAATACTTACACATTGCTGAGGTTGCTAGTTTTTCACAGCGGGGTGCTTAATTCTTAAAAGTGTCACATTCTCAGAGAATTTATAATCCAGAATAGACTCTTAACTTTGGAAAACTGGCTTTATCAAGATAACATAGATTTAGAACATGCCTTAGAATTTTTTACAGATCACAAAAACTTTTTCTTTTTTAAACCTAATATACCCTAAAAGGACATAATCTTCTAGATCACAGGACATCCATAATTTAGAACAGCAGATAGCACTACACATGCTTTTTTTAAGGCCATGAAGCAGCACAATAGAAAATAGAATAAAAAATAAAAGCACAAAAGAAAATAAAAGTTCAAAACACAACAGAAACATGAAACAGTACAGAGATGAGGCATTGAAGTAGACAAAAACTGTTAGATTAGCCAAAAGAGAGAACTGTGTGTTTTGTATATATCTTTCTAAACGTTTTGCAAATTTTACTACTCATTAACTTTCTACTAAAGTAAAATTTCTTTTGCATTCTATACTACTTAAGCCAAGGAAGCAATACTTGATGTTCACTGTGAAATTAGATCATTTCAGATGTTTACTGTGTAAGGATGGGCTGCAGTGTGCTGTGCTATGTTTGTAGTTTTGTTGTAGGGATAACTGATGTCTTTGTCTTGATTTTACCTCCAGCTGATCCCACAGTGAAGGACTTAATTGGAGGCTTCACTGCTCTTCATTATGCAGCTATGCATGGCCGGGCCCGGATCGCACGCTTGATGTTGGAATCTGAGTACAGGAGTGACATCATTAATGCCAAAAGCAATGATGGCTGGACTCCCCTCCACGTGGCAGCTCACTATGGAAGAGACTCGTTTGTCCGACTCCTGCTGGAGTTCAAGGCCGAGGTTGACCCACTCAGCGATAAAGGCACAACACCACTTCAACTTGCCATTATCCGAGAGCGGTCAAGCTGTGTGAAAATCCTTTTGGACCACAATGCCAACATTGACATTCAGAATGGCTTCCTGCTACGTTATGCTGTGATTAAAAGCAACCACTCTTATTGCCGCATGTTTCTTCAGAGAGGAGCAGACACAAACTTGGGTCGCTTGGAAGATGGACAGACTCCTTTGCACTTGTCTGCCCTGCGGGATGACGTGCTTTGTGCCCGAATGTTATATAATTACGGAGCAGATACGAACACACGGAACTATGAAGGGCAGACCCCATTGGCTGTTTCAATAAGTATTTCTGGAAGTAATCGACCATGTTTGGATTTCTTACAGGAAGTAACAAGTATGTAATACAATTATTACTACTACTGCATTCTTTTTTCCTCATAAAAATATTTGAGGTGTTTTTACAACTTAAAATGACTAAATGTTAATTATTCATATAGGCCCTGCATGGTGAGTAATGCATCATTTGTCTGAATAAATAGAAAGTTGTACTACCTCATAGAATTTCATAAAACATTTACTAATGTTACTAAAACTAGTATGGGCAGACAGGGTGAGTGAGAGAAAAAATGGAGAGGAGAAGTTTTTCATTACTAACCATCTTTGTTAAAGTTTGCAGTTGTTCCTGGCTATCAGAGGAGTGTTTCTAGGCTTTAATGGATTTCATATTGAGGAAAAGGAAGGCATGTAGGACTTAGATTCTTCAATTTTGCAAGTGTCCCAGAATTTGTGTTTTATTGTGAAGCTCTTGTTCACATTTTATCTTGGCTTTTCTGCTTCTTTATACCCTGTACTGACATGAACCCAAGCAGTTGTGTGTCTGTCGTCGGAATGGAGGCAAGAGATCTAGGAACTATGCTGAGAAAAGATTTACTGCTGGTAGAGACTGAGTTAGGCTCAGCTGTCCATGCTGGGGCTTTCCCTATGTCTTCCCTCCTGCAGTAGTAGTACCTGCGTGTTTGGAGCTGTTTGGCTGATAGAGGTAATTTGCTTGTGTGGACATAGCAGTCTTCATTACTACTGTTCACATATATGTTCCAAGGATGTCTTTTGTGGCTGTAAACAAAGTGCTTATTTTTGCTACACTGTGTTTTGTAAGGAATTTCTTTTCCCTTACTAGTTTTCTTTTTATAAACTTTTAGTTGTTATGTCAACATACTGAATGAACACCCCGAATGATTGACATGTTGCAGTATTTAGGGACAAGTGTATTAATCAATTACTTTGAAATCCATGAAAAAAATTAGGTGGTTGATGGGATAGATAAAAATTAAAATATCCCAGAGGCATGCAATTCAAACCCACCAGCTGCTCCATGGGAGGAGGATGGATGGTTTCCTCCTGTTCCATTAACTGCCTCTGAAAACCCACAGAGGGTCAACTGTGGGTCAGTACTGACTTGATGTTACACAAGAAGTCATTATTAAGGGAACCCGTCAGGCTTCTGATTAAAAGGTTGGTCGTTTAAATCCTTCCGTCATTCTGCAGGAAAAAGATGAGACCGTTGACAGCCAGTTAGATGTATAGCTTTGGCAGTGCCTTTAGTGAAAGTTTTTGTTTGCTTATTCATCTGGGGAGTTTTCTGGCAGTTGTTACTCTGGATAAAGAAACACTGACATTCTCTTTTTTTTTTTTTTTTAATTTAGGTTGTTTATTTTTCATTTCAGTGAACATCTACAGAGATTTTGGAATTCCATTCATTCATTGTTGCACAACACTGACATTCTTGATGCCAAGTAGCTAAGGTCTGAAAAGTTTACCTGATTTGCTTATAAATAATCCACTCAACCCTTTGGAGCAGAATTTCGTAATAAAAATTTGCTATATGAATAACTGAAATATAACTTTAGTTTTGCTTATTTATATGGGAAGCAGATGAAATTATTGTCATGAAATTTATTCAGACGAAAGCATAGGGAGCTCTAGTGATTTAGTTGTAATCCAAAGGCATGAAGTTCAAAGCCATTGGTTGATCCTTAAGAGAAAGGTGGGCAGTCTCCTATGCAATTTATACCTTAAGAAACCTGCTGAAGGGTCATTTTTGAGTCTGTTCTGACTCTGCATCACATTGAAACAACAAAACATAAAAAGAAATAATGGTCAGGTTCTAACCTGATGCTGTCCTGTGGAATGAAGGGGTCTTTCCACACCCAATTAAGTGCAAACTATTCCTCTATTGTGAAGACTGGAATTTTAAATTTTGTATAGTTTTCAATATAAATTTAAATAACCACCAATAACTAGTAATTTCCTTGTTGAATAGCATTGGAGATCTTTCTGTCTTGGTCTGTCTGGTGAATGGTTCCTTGCAGAAAGCTCTTGACCCACACATATGTAGCTAAAGACAACACAGTGTTATGTTGTATATGTGGTGCTGTATCTGTTGGTCCTCTGCCAGCCTGACTGACTCAGATAGAGGCTTATTTAGGAAAAGATTGGAGTCAAATTGTGAATACAGTACATTTTCCATCGGATAGGGATGTTGGTGTGGTGTTGTGAAAGATAAGTTTACCACTCCTTTTTTTAGCTTTAAGACATTTATTTCAACTAAGGAAGTTCAGATTCAGGGAGCCATTTCTTAGGGAGGCCCTCTCTCTCAGTTCTTCAACAAAATCCAATTTGCTTCAGCATGTATAGGCTATTGGAAAATCCCCATGTGTATTGGCCTTCCATGGTGTCAAGGAGCTTCCTAAGATAAGTACCTAAGTCCAAAAAGGACCATTCCACTGCTGGCACTTACTTTTTCATGATAATGTTGTTTACCATCAAGTCAAAGCAAACACATAACTGACCCTCTAGCTGTTTTTCAGAGGCAGTAATTAGCACAATCATTTACATATCTTTTCTATTATTATTATACTAGTTTATTTACAAAATTAGAATACATTGTTTTTCACACCAAATTCTTCCTCTTCCCTTACCTCCCATCAAATGGTACAACCCCATGATTAATCCCCCCCTCCACATGCTCATACCTCTACTTCCACCCTCCCCCCAACTTGGATCCTTATACTCATTTTACATTAACATATCTTGATTGCATGTTCCATCAATTTCAGACTACAAGAATTTGTAAAAATTCTCAATTTATTCCTCTTTGCCTCCTGATGTAGGAGCATATATAGTTGCTTAACAGGTCTTCCTTTGTAGGCATATGGATATTATCCTATCACTCAAAACATTATATATCAGAATAGAACTTGAAATTGACTTTTTTACTATGAATGCAGAACTAATTCTTCTCTTTTTCATTCCCGACATATGATACCATATGATCATCTGATTCAGAGTGGCCAAAGCTGGTCTATTTCATCCCACTAATGCCTACTATGTTGATGTTCACTTATTCCATTTCACTTCTAACAACTAACAGTTGATTTGAGACTCCAAAACTGCAGACTCTTAGGGCCCAATTGACTTTAAAATACAAAGGCCAGCCTAGTAGGTCCTGATGATTTAAACAAAAGGCTTCCAACCCACAGCTGATTGTTAACTAAATCCAAACAATCAATCAGTTTACACTTGCTTGTTAACGAAATTTAAAAAATGACCAGTTTACACCTGACTTTCAATTAAAACAATCTACTTTCTAGAATCTAACTTCTTCACAGAGGAAGATCCAAACTGGAGAATCTTACTCAGGGTCCAGCTGGCCTTTTAAATATGAAGACCCTGAACCAAGAGGCTGTTGTGCAAACAGAGCAGGGAACACTGCATAGTTTAAAATTAAGAAAGGAGTGTGTTTGGGTTGTATTCTCTCTCCATACCTATTTAATCTCTATGCTGAGCAAATTATTTGAGCAGCTAGTCTTAATGAAGAGGAATATGACATCAGGGTTATAGGGAGACTCACCAATAACCTGTGTTAGGCAGAGTGAGGAGGACTTATACTTATTGCAGAAGATTAAGGAATGCAGCCTTTAGTATAGATTCCATCTCAATGTTAGGAACACAAATATTCTTACCTCTGGACCAATAGGCAACATTAGATGGTTGAAGAAGAGATTGAAACTGTCAAGAACTTAATCTTGCTTGGGTATATAATTAACACCCTTTGTACCAGCACTCAGGAAATAAGGAGACACATTACACTGAGAAAATCTGCAGTTAGGGACCTCTTCAGATTATTGAAGAGTACTGATGGCATTTTGAGGACTAAGGTGCATCTGATTCAGACCATAGTCTTTCTAATACCTTGCTATTCATTTAAGAACTGGACAGTAAATAAAGATGACAGAAGAATTGATGCCTTTGACCTGTGGTTTGAAGAAGAGCCCTGAACATTCCTTGAACTGCCAAAAAAACAAACAAATATGTCTTGGAGAGGGTGCAGCATGAGTGCTCTATGGAGGCAGTAATCACATACTTTGGGCATGCTGCTAAGGAGGGTTATTCCTTGAAGAAGAGCATGATACTGGGAAGGATAGAAGGTCGGCAAAAGAGAGGAAGACTCTCGACCAGGTGGATTGATGTGGTGATTGTTGCAATGGGCTCTTGTGTGTCATGAAGTGTAAAGGTGGAACAGGATAGAACAGGGTTAAGATTTTTTTTTGTTCATAGGGTTGATATGAATCATCCTTGACTCAACACTGCGTAACAGAAACAACAGATAGCACAGGAGAAAATGCCCATCTTCATCCTATGGAGCAGCTAGTGGAGTTGATGCATAAATTTGTGTTGGCAGGACAATTTCTTACCCCTAAAACAACAGGGCTTTCCATACACAGGCTAATGCAGGAATAAATGGAATAGAAAACAGAAAAACAGTTGAAACTATCCAAAGACTTAAAGAGTTGATACTTCAGATGTGTCAGTAAAATTGACAAGCCACTAGGAAACCAAACCAAGTAAAAGACAAATAATAGAAGAAAGAAATTAAATGAGTGATAACAACCAGTCAACTAACCTAAATAAAAGGATAATAACAGAATATTGTTGTTGTTGTTGTTGTTGTTGTTGTTATGTGCCATCGAGTCACTTGTCATAGTGACCCTACGTACAAGAGCCCTAAACGCCGTTCTATCTTCTGCCAACCTCACCGTCTCAAACACACTCATTCCCACCACTCCACTCACAGAATCGATCCATCTCATCGAGGATCTTCCTCTCCTGTGCTGTCCCTCCACTCTCCCAAACATGATGTCCCTCTCCAAGGACCAGTCCCTCCTTGCAACATGCCCAAAGTATGTCTGACGAAGCTTCAGAATCCTTGACTCCAAGGAGCATTCTGGCTTCACCCTCTCCAGGAAAAACCTGTTTTTCTCCTAGCAGTCCATGGTATATTCAACACTCTTCTCCAGCACCACAGCTCAAAGGCATCAATTCTCTATCATCCCT